TAGTAGATACAGCGTTTCACCATGTTGGCCGGGCTGGTTTTGAACTCCTGACCTCAGGTGATCCACCCATCTCGGCCTCCCAAAGTGCTGGGATTATGGGCATGAGCCACTACGCCCGGCTGAATCTTTATTCAAAGTAGCCATGCATCCAGCATAAAATGGTGGGGTTCTGTTACTAAGGGGGAAATGGAGAGTGGATGATGGAAGATAGTTAATGATTTCTACCTTCCTTCCTTCCTTCCTTCCTTCCTTCCTTCCTTCCTTCCTTCCTTCCTTCCTTCCAACCAACCAACGTTCATGTGTGATGAACTGCCCTATTTAGTGAGGAGACAGTTATGCAAATGACCAGCCATGATACAATGTGATATGGAGTAGAAAAGGGGTTTTGTTCAAAATGCTGTGGGAGAACAGATGGAAATGATCAACAGCAATCATAATAATTAATAACTACAATGCCCTAGCTGGGTTCTCAGTGCTACATTCCGATGAATGTGTTTGTCCAGCTCCCTTTCTTTTCAGTGAGAGCTGCAAACCATTTTGCTTCTCTGGAATAGCTAACACAATGGGCAGGCAGGGTGCTGTTCTGAGTTCTTTATGGATATTATCTCACAACAGTCTTATGAACTGCTACTATTATCATTCTCATTTACAGATGGGGAAATGAGGCACAAGCCACAGAGTTGGGTTTTGGACCTGGGCAAGACTCCAGAGCACACGGACCTAACCGCTCTGTTCTGTTGCCTCCCCTAAAGCTGCTCATTCTCATTCCTTTCCCTGCTCCCCAGACATCTCCAGCAGACAGCCACCGCCATCACCCACTTCATTGTGATGATTGGGGTCAACTGGTGGGACTTCTGTTCACTTCCAGCCCAACCCCCAGCTAACTTAGATCTCTTCCCCTTGTCCCCTCCACCAGTCCTGCCTTCATCTCGGTTTTCTCATCTACAAGTAGGGCTGATACTAACACCTATACAGTGGGACTGTTTGTGAGGATTGAGAGTGTTTATTCATGGAAAGTGCTTATCCTGGCACATACTAAGTGCTCAGAGATGTTATTCTTTTTTATCCCCCTTGTATCTGGTTTCTTGAATTACTGCCTCTCTTTTCTCTCTCTTCATTCAATTTCTCTTTACAGGTTGTATTAATTTCCTATTCCTGCTGAAACAAATTATCACAAACTCAGTGATGGAAAACAATACATACTTATTATCTGGGGTCAGAGTCTCAATGGGGTTTCAAACTGGGCTCTGGAAGGCTCTGGAAAGAATCCATTTAGTCAGTTTCCAGTTTATAGAGGCTGTCTGCATTCCTTTGATGGCAGCCTGCTTCTGTCTTCAAAGCCAGCAGTGGTGGGTTGAGTCCCCACGTTGCATTATTCTAGCCTTGATTCTGTCGTTCCATCTTCTTCTCTGACTCTCCCACCTCCCTCTTTCATTTATAAAATGTGTTTGCACCAGAATAATCCAGGAGAGTCTCTTCTTCTTAGTATCCTTAACTTCATCACATCTGCAACGTCCTTTTGCCATGGAAGGTAACAGATTCACGGGTTCTGGATTAGGATGTGGACCTCTTTGGTGGCCATGATTCTGCCTACAGGTTCTTTCCTCTTGGGATACAGCATGTGAGAAGCACCCAAAACAAAATATTCCTCTTGAACAGTACGTTCTCTCTGTCTTCCTCCCTTCTCAGCCAGGCTCTTCGAGAGTTGCCTTGACTAGTTTCCTCCACCTCCTGACAACCTGCTGCAGTTGGCATCTGCCCCCACATTCCACCAAACCCACTCTTGCTTGGATCACTCGTGGCTTCCATATTGCCAAATCCGTGGGCACCTTTCATTCTTAACCGGCTGTGTTTTCCATGTTAGCTGCCCATTTCTTCATGACACCTGTCTGTCCCCTCTCTGCTTTTATGTCACTTTCTGCTGGTTTTCTCCCTCTACCTTTCCAGCTTAGACTCCTCTATGAGCTGCACCATCTCCACCCAGCCCTGAGATGTCCATGTTCCCGGGGTTTGGATCTTGGATCTGTTGTTCTTTTCTTGGGTGAGCTTGTCCCACACTGCTGGTTTTAAATGCCACCTGCCCAGGGATGAGCGACTCCCGCGTGTGCTGTACTCATCTCTGGCTGCTGGCTGGGAGAGTTGGTGAGGACTGTGCTTCTGGTCATCCCATTGGCTCCTCCACTTCCTCAGTCTCCTTTGAGGCAGACCTGTGAGAGAGCTCACTGAGGCAGTGACTTGCGAAGCATGAAGCCTGGGGCACTTGGTGCTTCTGTTCCTGGCTGTGTGGCTGTTTCCATCTTGATGGAATGTGATCCTCTCAGGACATCTTGGAGGACAGGTGGAAGGCAGCGGACATGGCAGTGCCGAAGGACAGAACTGTGTTTAGCAGGGGTGACAGGAAAGCAAGCAGGAGTGGCAGATCTTCAGGCACAAATTTATTGGAGCAAACCCCTCCTTTATCTTTGTGGTTTGCAATGGCTGAAGCTCTGAAGGAACCACAGGCTAACTAGAGCACAAAGGCACAAAAACATTCAAAGCAAGTCAGGGTGCATCCTAAGAGTACAGTTAGACACACAAGACTCTCACCAGAAAGAGAACAATCTGCCTGAATGGCAGGACTGCCTCTGAAGCCAAGAGGGCTGCTGAGGGAGGTGTGGTACTCAGGAGTGGTCTTGGGGGCAGGGGGAGTGAAACAGGTGAAGCTGGACTTTAAGCAGGGAATGGACAAGGAGCCAGGAGGAGGAAGGCCATTTCAGGCAGGGGAATAGCGGGTGCAAAGGCTTAGAGTCAGGATCACTTTAGAGTCCATCTTGGGAACAGGAGCATGTTGGGGATATGAGGTTGAAGAGGACTGTGTCCAGGGTATCAGGGCCTCAGATAATGCTGGCACAGGAAGTCTGAACTTTGTCTTGTTGGCAATAGGGGGCTGTGGAAGGGTTTTGAGCAGGGGAATGACTTGGCAGAGTTCAGCTTTAGGAAAACTATTCTAGTCTTGGGTGGACTGGGAAGGGCCCCAGATCTTAAAATATGCAAAATATAATTTTAGAGAGAGGAGCTACCTTGGCAATTACCAATCTATTCCTATAATTGTATATATGTGTGTATTTTTAGATGTATATGTGTGTGTATATTTATATCTAATATATATATTTTAAGTACATACACTATACACATTGGATGTCCTAGATGGAGGGTGAGTGACAAAGGCACACAGTGACAAAGCCAGCATTAGAACTCAGAGCTAACTCCTGGTCCCATGCTCTTCCTCGACAGGGTACTTAGTGGAGGCAGATGTATCTGAAAGGGGGCCAGTCTAATTGTCAAGGCAGTTGGTGATGCAAGCCCTGACCAGGGCAGGACAGGGCAGACACAGAGGGGAAGACTGTGTGGGAGGCAGTGAGGATATGTTCTCTCTCCTTTTCCCTCTCTGGGTGGGGGCTGGGACATAGGGCTCGTTGGAGACTGCACATGAGTGCATCTCTTCTTCCTGGGTCCTGCAGCATCCTTCTGGGCCTGGTTTCTATGGCAACAGGCTCCCAGCAGGCAGCCTGCCAGCTGGAGAGAAGTAGGCAGGCAAGGAGAGAAGGCCTGGGCAGCAAGAGAAAGGCTGAAGTTGAGGGGGTTGGGAGAGTCTCTGGGGGAGCTGTAGGGACCCCTTGAGCCAGCCCCACGATCCCTTCTGACTGTGTAGAGGTGGAGGTAGCTCAGGACACACAGGCTTTTCTTTTGTGGTCCTTGAATTTCCAAACCTTGATCTTCTGTTTATCCCCCTACCTCCCACATCGCCTGACTCCCACTTCTTAAAGTATTGCCTGGTCCCAACCTCATGCATCTTAAGGGGTCACTGACTTCTTCATAGAAAAGAACTCTGAACTCAGGAAAAAAATGAACAAGGCCAGTTGACCTTCTGGTTTGCATAAGATTTGCATATTATTAACTCAAAGACAAGAAATTTCCAGGCCCTATGTCATTCCTGCAAACAACTTAATTCAGCTCCACTGGCCCTGGCTGACTGCGTCTGGCCAGGCTCTGGGCTGAGCCATCAAGGTCCCTAGAGAAGTCCTCCCAGCTGCAGGCCCACTCCACCCCCAGCTGCTCCAAGGCATTTCTTCCTGTGACGTTCTAGCAGCTGGTGCAGTGCCAAGTGCTTGGACTATGGAGCCCAGCAGGCCTGAGTCCAAATCCTGGCTCTGCTGCTTAGAAGTTGGGTTGACTTAGTTTACTCATCTCTAGGTAGCGCCGAGGACACACTAGTGCAGCTGGTGTAAACTAGCATAGACATAGCATTTGTTAAAATGTTGAAATACCGGCCGGGCGCGGTGGCTCACGCCTATAATCCCAGCACTTTGGGAGGCTGAGGCGGGTGGATCACAAGGTCAAGAGATCGAGACCATCCTGGTCAACAAGGTGAAACCCCGTCTCTACTAAAAATACAAAAATTAGCTGGGTATGGTGGTGCGCACCTATAGTCCCAGCTACTCGGGAGGCTGAGGCAGGAGAATTGCTTGAACCCAGGAGGCGGAGGTTGCGGTGAGCTGAGATCATGCCATTGCACTCCAGTCTGGGTAACAACAGCGAAACTCCGTCTCAAAAAAAAAAAAAAAATGTTGAAACACTTCTGCCTTCGCTGGTAAAGAGCCACCACCCTGGCTCCTCCCTGGCACCTCTAGCCCACCCCACAATCTAGCCCCTGCAGGGCACTGCGGCAGCATTTTGGTCTGTGTCTCCTCTGCCTGGTGTATGGCAGCATCTGCTCTGTCCATGGACCGAACTGGCTGCTAAATAGTGTGGATATCACCTCTGTCTAGAGGCAGTGCAACAGGTAGGTATATTATGTACTTAGCTGTTGCAAGAACCAATATATTTAAAGTGCATAAAGTCCATCACTTTGTAGGTTCCCTTTCTCATTCCCTTCCCTTTTTTTTTTTACTTGGGGTGGGGATGAGAGAGAGCTGGCATGAGCCTGGGCAATGGGGAATGACAGGCACCCCTCTCCCCAGGCGAGCAAGGTTCAAGCGCTCCAACAGTGTGACGGCCGGCGTGCAGGCAGACCTGGAGCTGGAGGGCCTGGCTGGCCTGGCCACGGTGGCCACAGAAGACAAGGCCCTGCAGTTTGGACGCTCCTTCCAGAGGCATGCCTCTGAGCCCCAGCCTGGGCCCCGGGCCCCCACCTACTCAGTCTTCCGCACAGTCCACACGCAGGGCCAGTGGGCCTATCGTGAGGGCTACCCACTGCCGTATGAGCCGCCGGCCACCGATGGGTCACCCGGCCCTGCCCCCGCCCCCACCCCTGGCCCCGGGGCCGGCCGCCGTGACTCCTGGATAGAACGTGGTTCCCGTAGCCTCCCTGACTCAGGCCGTGCGTCCCCCTGCCCACGGGACGGCGAGTGGTTCATCAAGATGCTGCGGGCAGAGGTGGAGAAGCTGGAGCACTGGTGCCAGCAGATGGAGCGTGAGGCGGAGGACTATGAGCTACCCGAGGAGAGTGAGTCACAGCATTGGAATGATGGGACTCTGGGAACCGTGGCCTCGTGTGTGCTCAGGAGACCCTGATGGGGTGGCTGGGGCTGCAGTGTAACAGGAGGCCCCTTCAGTTGGTGCCTCACTGGTCTTCTGCATGGAGCGTGGGGGTCAACACTGGCAGCAGGGCATGCTGGGAGCTCTTGGAAGGGAGCACGGTGCACACAGTGCAGCTTTAGAGGCCAGGGCGGGGCCTTCTAGGGATGGCTGCTAGTCCAGATCATCAAATTTATGGGGACTAAGGGAACTCCGTTCAGATCTGGAGTGGTGTGGGCGTCTGGGTGGTGGGACCAGGATTACAGAGAGGGAGGCAGTTCACAATGTCAGGTCCTGTCTGAGGCATAGATGAGGAGATGCAGCCAGGGAGACATGGTCCTGGCCTGAGGGAGAGCATGGCCCTTCCTGTAAGTTGTATCTACTGGGAGACACAGTCTTACCTCAGAATATCCAAGTTGAGGGGATAGTGACTAGGAAGATGTGTTATGGACATGAAATTACTTGGTCATTTTTAAAGGGCACAGGACTCATGCATGCACTGGTGAGTGAGGAACAAAGCCCAGCCAATGGGTAGTTAATGAGCTAAAGCCCTGGCCAGGGCCATAGCGCTAGGCTGGGGCTGGTCGCCATCTGTTCTCTGACACCAGAGAGAGAAAGGCTAAACGAGGATGAGCACTCAAGAAATGTAGGTTGTATAAAGGAGGGAACATCAGTGTCTGAGGATACAGTCTCCGTGCTCTATCCAGGTGTAGTAGAATAAGAACTGATTAGGAACTTGAGGATGATATGGGGCTGGGGCTGGAGGAGACTGATGGATAGACAGTGCCAAACAACCGAGGGGTCAGCATCATTCAGGGCAGACTTCCTGGAGGCTGGGGAAGGAGAGGCATCATTTCCCTCCCTGAATTTCCCTCTGCTTCCTAGTCCTGGAGAAGATCCGCAGCGCTGTGGGCAGCACACAACTTCTCCTGTCCCAGAAGGTTCAGCAGTTCTTCCGGCTCTGTCAGCAAAGCATGGTGAGCACCTGTAGTAGTAGATCCTACAAGATATGTGTGACCCTGTGTGTGTGTGTGTGTGTGTGTGTGCGCGCGCGTGTGCCGGAGGTGTGTCCATGCCTGCAGGGCTAGCTGTGAGTCTTGTGCCTGGAGGTAGGACCAGGTGTTTGTGCACAAGACGGGGAGGCCTGGGCTCTTTCTTGTCCCCCTGTCTCCCAGCCCCCACCCACTCTCTCAGGCTGAGCTTCCTGGCAGTAAGGATGCATAGGGCTTTCTCTTGTCCTGGCTGGGGCTCAGATCTCCCTGACCCACCACTTTCCTTCCATCTCCCTCTGCTGCAGGATCCCACTGCGTTCCCTGTGCCCACCTTCCAGGACTTGGCGGGTTTCTGGGACCTCCTACAGCTCTCCATCGAGGATGTGACCCTCAAGTTCCTGGAGCTACAGCAACTCAAGGCCAACAGCTGGAAGCTCCTGGAGCCTAAGGTGGGGCTGGGGTCCCTTTAGGCAAAGAGTCCAGCCAGACTCTGGGAAATTCCCCTCCCCAGAGAGGTGAGGGTGGGGCAAACAAGGGGGCAGGGGAAAGGACCCATGGCAGTAAGGGCAGCTTGGTCAGGTGATAGGTAACCATCCCCTTCCAGAGTGACCACGCTCGCGGCCACTGCCACCTGCTTGGCCCCAGTGCTCATCACTGCTTGTGCTGAACCCCAAGGCTTCCTCAGCTGGGGCACGGCTGCCGCTGGAGAGCAAAAGTAGACTTTACACAAGGACAGACTGTCCTCAGTTCGGGCCTAGGCATCGAGGGCAGAACCTTGAGGGTCCCCTCAGCCGCCAGGTCGCTGGACTTTGCGATATGGCCCAGAGGCCTGGAATATGCACCCTCCTGGCGTATCCTGGGTTGGGAAACGCCCTTCTTGGGACCTGGAGTGAAAACCCCCCTTTGATGCAAGCTGTTGAGAATGGCGCCACCAGGGAGCGCTCGAACGCGCCGCGCTTTGGTGGAAAACGTGGGGATTTGACCTTGTCGTAACAGGCGCACCTGGGGCTTCGGGTCACGGGATCCGATGCTGAGCGCCATCGCGTTCGGAGCCCCGCGGTTGTCAGCGCTCCGAGTGCGGGGGGCCGCGGGGGCGGGCACCGGGGTGCGGGGTGGTAAGGCACCCCGGCTCAGCGCCGGGCTCAGCGCCGTCCTCTGCCCCGCAGGAGGAGAAGAAGGTCCCTCCGCCGATACCAAAGAAGCCCCTGCGGGGCCGGGGCGTGCCGGTGAAGGAGCGCTCCCTGGACTCCGTGGACAGGCAGCGGCAGGAAGCGCGCAAGCGGCTCCTGGCGGCCAAGCGCGCTGCTTCCTTCCGCCACAGCTCGGCCACCGAGAGTGCCGACAGCATCGAGATCTACATCCCCGAGGCCCAGACCAGGCTGTGACCGGTCCGGCCCGCCCAGCCCGGCCCGGGCCCGCGGTTCTCCACCCGTACTGTACACCCAGCGTCGAGGTCACTGTGAACGCGGGCCGCCCCCGAGCGCCCGCCCCACCGGCACCGCACGCCCCGGCCCCCGGGCCCGTCACACTCTCGTGGGTTTTTTACCTTCCTGACCCCACGCGAAGGCGCCCAGGCTGGGCAGGGGGCCGTGCCTCTCCGCCCTGCGCCCCTCACCTGGATTCCCCCGCCCACCTGGTCCGACGCTTTGTCCCCACCTTCTCCCCATGGGCACCATCTCTGCCATTCTTTCCCCCCACGGGCCAGGCCGGGCCGGGTCCCCCATCTGGGCTCTGCGTTCCCCCCACCCCGCGGGGCTGGGCTTCGTGGGGATCAAGCTTCGTGGCTTTTTATGAAGAATCCCGAACCCTGCCTAGGAGCCTGCCCCACCCTCCCAGGGGCTCCATCCTCAGCCCTCAGCCCACCGGGCCCAGGGACCACAGTGGCTGGACCAACCCAGGACCAGGGCGCCTGGGCCTCTCCCCTTTCCCAGCGGCTGGGGAGGGGAGATGGGGGCTTCCCCTCACCACACCTGTGGCTGTTCCCTCACCCCCTTGAGTATCCCAGGAAAAATAAAACGGCAGAACTGCACTCGAGCCAGCTGCTCTCTCCAGAAGAGGCCACCTCCGTCCCGTGTGTGGGAGGACGGGGGTGAAGGGAGAAGGGGCCAGGAGCCCACTCTCTTGGTTTGGAGACAGCAGGGGTTGCCTGGGCTCCTCCCAGGGATGGGCCAGCTGGTGGAAAGGAGATTCGGCCCCTGGTGCCCACAGTAAGAACCTGGACCCTCCTGCAAGGGCCCAGGTAGGGTGAAGAGGGGGAGGATGTCTATCTTCCTGCTCTCCCTGTTTTGGTGTTTTCCATTCTGCCTCCCAGTCCCCAGGGGTCCCCCCCAGAGAGGGAAGCCTGGAGCTCGCTCAGCACACAGCATGTGCTCAATAAACTGGGGGTGTGGTTATTGTTAGGTATTGACAAATACTGGTTTCCCTTCCCCTAGGGGCACAGTGTTCCTTCTGCTCCAGTCATTACTGATCAGCAGAAAAACTTCAGGCCTGCCACATTTTCTGATGCCTCCTATGGGTGGGCACCTTGGTGGGGGATGGCGTGGGGGAGCAGGAAGTACAAAGAACCAAGCTCTCCTGGGAAGCCAAATGGCAACCAGAACCTAGTATCGATGGCTTTATTGAGTGGTCAGTGCGGGTCAGGCAAGGGGTGAGTGCTTTACATGAATGTGGCTGGTCCTTACAACAGATGAGAAAGCCAAAGCTCAGGGCAGGTTACATGACCTGTCCGAGGTCAAATGCCAAATCATGAGATTTTAGCTCTGCAGCCTTCTTAGATCAGAGAGGCTGATGGCAGTCTCCACCCAGAATGCCCCTTTCCACTCCTTGAGCAGTCCTTTGGGTTGGTGTGTCACCTCCAGGCAGGAGGATAAGCCTTCAGTATTGGCTACTTTTCTGGGCCACACTGGATCAGCTAATTCTTCTCATTTGTTTATGTGGCACACACCACAGGGATAGCCCTGAACAAGATGTAGTTTCTACCCTTAATGGAGCTTAGTATGGTGGTATGGGAAAAACAGACAAGTAAGCAGGCAGTTAAAATACAGGAGTGAGTGCCAGAAAGATGATGAGAGGTTAGCAGCTGGAGGAGGGCCAGGGCTGGGAAGAATGTTCCAAGATCAGGGAACAGCTGTGCAAAGGCCTGGAGGACGAAGAGACATTGGGAGCACAGAGACTTGATGATATCAGTGTTTGGGTCTCATTGAGGAGGGTGGCCTGGGTCTTGTGGGCTGTAGGGAGCCAGAGGAGGGTTTTGAACAGAAGAGTGGCATGAATGATTTATAGACTGGTTTCGTAGATGACTTCTGAAAAGCAAGAGATGGTTCACATACACACTCATGTGAGCCTGGAAGGTGAGGAGGGCTCTAATGGGATCTGAATTCCCAAAAGTAATCAGTTTGGAGCTGATCTCATACAGACTCCTGAGCCTGGTCCAAGACTTAGTGAATAGACTCTGCCCTCCAATAAGTTTTTAACAAGTGCTCCACAGGATTCTGAGCAGCCAGGTTTGGGAAGACTTAAATTGGATGACTGTCCAAAAGTCTCCGATAGAAGTAAACTGGGTCAGTTTCCTTTGCTAAGATTGTTTTATCATCTCTAAAATTGGGACATGGGTGAGGTTTGAACTCAGAGCAATGCTATAAAACAGGTATTGTTATCACCCCCATTTACAGATGAGGAAACTGGGGCTTGGAGAGGTTTAAACAGCTTACCTCAAACCATGAAGCCAGGAAGTGGCTGAGTCTGAGTTTAATCCTTTACATTATACAGCATTTTATGGGTCTATGACTTTTCTCAGAAACAGCTAGGTTTCCCAGGATTGTGAGGTATACGGGAGAGGGCACAAAGGAACAGGTCAGCATCTGCAACTCTGTGGTTATCCTGCTGCAGACATGATGTCCAAAATCTCCCCAGCTGGGGCTGGTGTGGATGAGTCTCCTTTGGTTTTTGTGGCCTAGGTAGTTATGCTGAGCCCCGTAGATAAGTTGAAGATTAGATCCAGTCCTTTTGCTTGAGTTGCTTACAGTCTGGCCATGGCCAGGCACATAAACAGAAAGTTATGGTGCAAAGGGAGGCCTGCTCTCCCAGAAGGACTGAGGGATTGAGAGGAGAGAGCCTCCAGCAACCAGGGTGTCTTAATCTATTTCGTGCTGCTATAATAGAATACCACAGAGTGGGTAACTTATAATAAACAGGTATTTATTGGCTCACAGTTCTGGGGGCTGGGAAATTCAATGTCATGGTGCTGGCATCTTTTGAGGGCCTTCTTGCTATGTCATCCCATGGCAGAAGTTGAGCAGGCAAGAGAGGGAGTTGAACTTGCCCTTGTATAAGGGCATTAATTCCACCCTTGAGAGTGCAGCCCTCATGGCCTAATAACCTCGTAAAGGTCTCACTTCTTAATACTTACAATGACAAATTTCGGCAGAAGTTTTGGAGGGTACAACCATAGCACAGGTAGTCTGGGAAAGCTTTCTGCCTTCTGAACTGGATCTTGCAGGATGAATTAGCATTTTGCAGTCAAGGAAGAGAAGGGAGAAATTCATTTCTGGCCAAGGGACCAGCCTGGGCAAAGCCATGGAAGCACATGTGTGTTGGGAGTGAAAGCATAGGCTGGAGAGGGTGGCAGGTGATGGTGGCTGTAGAGGACGTGGAGGAGATATGGCCAGAAGGGACCCATAGAGAGTTGGTGATTGGGGGCTAAGATGGAGACCTCATAGTTTTATTTGAAAGATAAAACTATGATAAACAGAATGGAAATGAACTGGCAGGGGCAACAAGACGGCAGGGAGACCATTGAGGGAGCTGCTAAAGTGGTCCAGCTAAGAGAGAATGATGTTGACTTTAAGGGAAATTTAGGAGGCATAGGTGCCGTAAGCTGGATCTGGGGAATAATGCAAAGATGGGACGCCTTGAAGGTGTCACTCAGATGTCTGGCTTAATGAATGAGTAAAGCCACGAATGGACATAGGACATTACAGAAGGAGCAATACAGTTTGGAAATACTTAACATGTCAATAACCATTTACTGAGCACTGAGAAGGTGCAAACTACTATGCCAAGCACTTTATACATGTTTAGATTGATTTAATACAGCAACCCTAGGGGCGGGTTCTATTATTGTCTTTTTTTTAAAACAAAGAGTGTAAATAGCTTTTCTGAGATTAGCAGACAAGAGTCAGGATTCGAACCCATGGCTATCTGATTTCTAAGTCTTTGCTCCTGAGCCCCTCAGCACTTCTGCTTGAGGGAACCACTAGCCATGACTCAAGACTCAGCTCAAGGCCTGGTTCCTCTAGGGAGCCTTCCTTGAACCTTCCTGGCCGGGCTGAAGATCCTCTTCTGTGCTGCGTGTGTATACTTCTGTCATCACATTTCTTACACTCTGTTGACATTTTGTAGACCCATCTGTTTCTTTAGTCAGAGAACTCCAGAGGCAGGTTGGTCCCAGTCATTTTTGCATCCCCAATGCCTGGCACATGATTGGCTGACTGGATGCCAGTTCCTCTGGGCAGTTCTGTTCCCTTCTCTCCACATATTCAATTAGTGAACAGGTTCTGCTAACAACGGTCTCCTAAATATTTCTTTGTACTGTTGGGGCTCGGAAAGCAATACCCCAAAGACTGGGGCTTTGACATGCCGAGAGGCCTTCGAAGCTGCCGCAGAATCAAGGTCCCTCTAATCTTGTTATCCAAGTACAGGGAGGGACTCTCTGGAGTTTCCTAATCTGATCAAGAAAACTTCTTTCCAAAAGAAACAAAATTGCCTTCCTCCCCTCTCCGAAATCTCATCTATCTCTGAAAAGAAGACTGAGGAGGGCAACCACACCTGGATGGATTTTTTACAAGATGATGCCTGCTTCTCGGGCTCATTCAAATTCTAAAGAGAATCATTTACAAATGAATTTCTGTCCGTTTTTTTTCTGCTCTAAGAATCACTTAGGGCCCTCAAAAGAATTGTCTATATTCTCTGTCTCTTCCCTTCCCCTGTGAAAAAGGGTGTATAATCTTCTGTACCCCATTGGATTATTGGGTAACCATTCTCCTGTGACCCTTCCCTTCCCGGCCACCCCACCCCCCGTGCTATGCACGTTAAAATAAAATTTTGTATGTCTTTTCTCCTATTAATCTGCCTTTTGTCAGTTGATTTTCATTGAACCTTGGCCCGTACAATAATGTTCCCTTTTCTCTGTCTTCGCTCCCAGAGCTTAGCTTTGAGCTCTTTAAGATAACAGAGGATGGGTATCTAATGTGATAAGCAGTCTATATATGAGGCTTCCTATGAAGGTCACCCTTAAGCTTGAAAATTGTGCCAGAGCACAGTTTGGCATAGTAAAGAAAGGTGGGAAGGGCACTTCTTGGCCAGGCATGATGGCTCACGCCTGTAATCCCAGCATGCTGGGAGGCTGAGGCAGGCAGATTGCTTGAGTTTGAGACCAGCCTGGCAACATGATAAAACCCGGTCTCTACAAAAAGTACAAAAATTAGCCGGGCCTGGTGATGTGCATCTGTGGTCCCAGTTACTCGGAAGGCTGAAGTGGGAGTCACTTGAGTGCAGGAGGTCGAGGCTGCGGTAAGCTATGATTGTGCCACTGCACTCCAGCCTGGGCAACAGAGCAAGATCCTGTAAAAAAAAAAAAAAAAAAAAAAGGTGGGAAGGACACTTTAGGTAGATGAAAAAGCATCAGGAAGGCGCTGAGGTGTGAAACAGTATGGCCTGCTAGGTTTAGTATGTGCTAGTAAAATAAATACGCAGGCTGATATTCGTGGGATGAGGGTGGGAAGGGCCTTCCCTGTGGGGCATTAAGAAGCTTTAGCTTTGGGACTTTTCTGTATATGATTAAATTGATGTCTATGTAGGGTACAGAGGGGACACAGAGGAGGAAGTGAATACCTGAACTCGAGAGGTCATGTAAGACTTAGGTTTTACTATATTTCAATTATTTTTAGACTAACAATAGCCACGTTTAGTTTCCTGCTGGCTGTGTGCCTGGCACAGTACTTTACAAATATTATGTTATCTAACCCTCACATCATCCCTGCGAAATGGATCTTATTACCTCTACACAGAAGGGGAAGCCTCAGACAGTTTAATAATATTCCCAAGATCACTAGCAAGCTAGCCCAGATCCCAAGAGGTCTTAAAGGACCAAATTATACTCTCCTAAAAAGAGCTTCTTGGCCGGGTGCAGTGGCTCACACCTGTAATCCCAGCACTTTGGGAGACCGAGGTGGGTGGCTCACAGGATCAAGATATCGAGACTATCCTGGCCAACATGGTGAAAACCCATCTCTACTAAAAATACAAAAATTAGCTGGGCGTGGTGGCGTGCGCCTGTAGTCCCAGCTACTCGGGAGGCTGAGGCAGGAGAACTTCTTGAACCCTGGAGGCAGAGGTTGCAGTGAGCTGCGATCGCGCCACTGCACTCCAGCCTGGACCACAGAGCGAGACTCCGTTTCAAAAAAAACAGCTTCTTGAGGACAGGGACCACGTCTTTTGTTTTTGTGTGCCCAGACCTAGGTCTTAGAAGACGCCTAGTACACATCAGTTGAAAAAAATAACTGGATTATCTTTCACTTTTTCCACGCAGAAAGCACGTGGCAACATCACTGAGAAGCCTCCACGCCACCAGGGGGCGCAAAGTTCATCTCAGCGCAGCGAGGTCCGGTTGCGGACGCCTAGCTTCCTTCCGTTCTTTGGCTAAAGTTCAGCCAATCCCTGCTCTCCGAGAGGGCCGGCGGCCAGTGGGCAGGGTCACAGGGCAAGGTCCCGCGGGCCGCTGGGAGCGGCGACTTCCTTGCTCCCGGCGAGCGGGCGGAGAGCTGGGGGCTGCACTGAGGAGTGTGGGCTGGGCCGCAGGTGAGCGCGCGGTCCCGGCGAGCAGGTCCTGTCAGCCCAGGCCCGTAACCTCTGAGTTATTGGAGGAGTGATCTCTAGGGTCCACCCCGGTCCTGGCCAAGCCTGACGACTCCCTGTTTTGCGGGTGTTCTGGTACCAAGTCCCGGAGCCCAGCTGGCCCTCTGCAGACAGGGCTTCTCGGCATCTCAATGAGGACGGATGTTGATGAGGCCATGAATGACGTGGGCTAGGGGCAGGGGACTGGCAGCCCCAGAGAAGGGAGAAGGGTAGGCAGTTGGACCCTGACCTCATTGGCGCTCCCATCCCAGGAGTGCGCTCGAGTGACTGTCAGGGTTAATTCTTCCGGCATCTCAGGCCTCCTCTGTCCTTGTTAGCAGTTCTTTAATGTGGGACGACGGTTCTGGCCTCGTCGGGCCTCCGGGCACCCAACTGGGGCAGGTTTCCCAGCAACCCAGTTGACCTTTACTGGATGCTTTTGGCAGACTTCCTCCATGCCGGGCTGGAGATATGCGTCACAGTATTTTTCACTTTTGTCTCTTTCATTGTGATACCCTGGGGATGACTATGATGGAGTCTCTAGGTTTTTGTAATCAGCAAAATCATGTTATGTCCCTGCCACCTTTTGGGGGAGTGGGTGGAGGATGTTGTGATTTTACACTAGGGAGTTGTTTGGACTGTCATTCATTTGTTCAACAGACCCTTTTTGGGCACTCTGCCAGACATGGTAGGAGAGGTGCGGGGGTGGACAGGGCACAGTGGGGTCAGACAGACACGGTTCTTGTCCTTTTGGAGCTTAAAGTGTCTTGAGAAATGCAGACAGGTTAGTTTGAGTCAGCACCGTGCCTGCCACAGAGCAAGTGGTTATAAGGGTTGAATAAAGGAATTAATTGACTTATTTGGGAGTGATAGAATGTGAGCAGGCCTGTAAAGAGCGACGTTATGCTGCCTGTGAGAGATAATTGTGAACTCATGCTCGATACGTTTTAAGACAAATTTGAAAATCTGAATGGACAATTGCTATTTAGGGAAAGCATTTACGTATACAGAGGACTTGCTTTAAAGGTGGGAAATAAAATGGAGAAGTATGAGGTTTGGGATTCTTTAGAGGTGCCTCTTGTAACTACTACTATATCTCAGAATTTCACCTGAGTATAATCTTAGAGTCTTGGAAAAAGGAGCTCTTCTAGGTAATGAAATGCCAGGCTGATGGGAAGAAACTGTAGGAAGCTCTCCCTAAGTCCAGGATTTGGACAGAAACCATATACCTCTGCAGTGTGTTCTTCCCACTAGAAAGAGTGTAGGCTTTTAAGTTGGAGAGGCCTGGGTTCAAAATCAGTGGCTCTATCCCTTCTAGTGATCTTGGGTAAGTGCCCCAAAAATGTCTGTGAGCCTTTGTGGCTTAACAAGAGTCTGGCCTAATAATTCCTAAATCATAGAGGTGTTATGAGGATCAGAGGATGATTAGTGTGTAAATTGTCATCATAGCACCTGGTGCTAAGACAATAAGGAGGGGAATCTTGGAGCTGCTGCAGTTTGTTTTTTTTTTAATTTCATGATACTTCCTTATTCCAGGGGTCCTCAACCCCCTGGGGCACAGACTAGTGGTGGTCTTCTGCCCATTAGGAACTGGACTGCACAGCAGGAGGTGAGCGTTGAGCAGTGGATGAGCTGGGAAGCATTACCGCCCGAACTTCATCTTCTGTTAAATCAGCAGCAGCATTATAGTCTCACAGGAGTGCAAACCCTATTGTGAACTGCACATGTGAAGACTAGGTTGCCTGCTTCTTATGAGAATCTAATGCCTGATGATCTGAGCTGGAACAGTTTCATCCCAAAACCATCCCTCTCCACCTCTCGTCTATGGAAAATGTGTCTTCCATTAAACCGGTCCCTGATGCCAAATAGGTTGGGGACCGCTGCCTTATAGTGTTAGGTCCAGAGAACACTGGGATTCCTTCAAAAAACCAAAGACAGCGAGAGTCATCTTATCCTTGGTGAGGTTTTGATTGTTTACTTTAGATTGGAGATAGCAGTGTTGGAGAAATACCTACTAGGGCATCAGATAGAAAGATTTTTTTAGTTGATACTTTTGGGCAAGTTACTTAACCTTCTGATAGTGGGTTAAATATCTACCTCACGTGGTGGACATGAGGATTAAGAGAGAGAGTGTATATGAAGCACCTATCCCAAGGCTTAGCATGTAATAAGTGCTCAATAAATGGCAGCTGTGTTATAACTGTCAATGAGCTTTGATAATTGATAATAATAGTAATAATCATTTCAGCCTGAATAGTCATTAGAGTGACCCAATTTGTGTGTTTTTACATGACTTCGGTGTTGGCCTACTTCATTTCAGGAGGCCCTGAGGCAGTTCACTCTGTCCCCCTCAACTGTACATGGCTTGTACAGTGGTTTTTGCAGAAAATCTTTGAGTCTTATGTTGTCCAGAGTATGTGTAATGATTTGTGGTATTTTCAGGAGCTTTTTATGTCAATATGAGGGTATGGGTTTGGTTGAAGGTGGGAGTTTTTTTTCCCTTGAGACAGAGTCTCATTCTGTCACCCAGGCTGGAGTGTAGTGGCATGATCTCAGCTCATTGCAACCTCCGCCTCGCAGGTTCAAGCAATTCTCCTGCCTCAGCCCCCTGAGTAATAGGGATTATAAGCCTCCTAAAGTTCTGGGATTACAGGTGTGAGCCACTGTCTTGAGCCAAGATAGGATATTTTGAAAGCGGTTTAGTTAGCCAGATTTGTAAAGTATAGGTTTGTCTCATTGTTGGAAAAGCCAGGTTCAGAATAGGATAAAACTGTTATCTGTTTACCTAAAATCCAGGATAATTAGGTAATGCATTATGGATTTGACTGTTTCAGTATACTCCTTATGCTTTATATGTGGAAAAGGAACTACACTTCATATCGTGGAGCCAGGAGATTCATCGTAGCCAGGTGTGTCATGGGGAAAAGGTGGCTGGCTGCACTCATGGAGAAACTTCACAGAGCAGAGGAAGGCTGCTTTTCCCTGTCTTGAAATGCTGGCAAACTAGAGGGAGGGCCTGGGGTCAGCTATAGACTTGAAGCCCTATTAGGTAAGGCTCAGAGGTCCCCTTGTGAGGAACATTGTCTTATATTGGTGCACATGAGTCAAAGAGTACAGTCAGTAAAATGGAGATTCTTCCTTCTTCCTTAAGATGGGAATCTTTTGAAATTTCCTAGATTATTTCAGGGACCCACCTCTTGCATTGCTCTGCACAGGGCTGGGCGCTCAGTAAATTGGGCCAGGCTGCCTGGTGAGTGGAGAGCCCCAGTAGGTTGCTCTTATTGGTGGGAGAGGATGCTGGGTTCTCTCTAATGCACCTTGTGCTCTTCTGCAGATGTCATGTGGCCTGTGTTTTGGACCGTGGTTCGTACCTATGCTCCCTATGTCACATTCCCTGTCGCCTTCATGGTTGGGGCTGTGGGCTACCACCTGGAATGGTTCATCAGGGGCAAGGACCCCCAGCCTGTGGAGGAGGAAAAGAGCATCTCAGAGCGCCGGGAGGATCGCAAGCTGGATGAGCTTCTAGGCAAGGACCACACCCAGGTGGTGAGCCTTAAGGACAAGCTAGAATTTGCCCCGAAAGCTGTGCTGAACAGAAACCGCCCAGAGAAGAATTAATGGAGGACACAGGGCCCTGTGGTCCTACTGTGGCCAGTGACTAGTCCTGCTACCATGTCCACCCAGCCCCAGAACCCACATCTGATTGGCTTTGTTGCTTATTCTGGCCCCTCCCACACCACACAGCCATACAAGTACTGGCTGCTCCTTGATGGCCAGGCAGACCCAGCAGCCGCTGAGGGGCCAGTGAAGAGGAAAGCCGCATCTGTTGTGTGGTGGCCACAATCACTCGGGCGTCTGAGTTTACTGGTGCACTGCTGGGAGGAGAGTTATGAGATGACTGTTGGCTATCAGTCTCCGTGGGCAGGTGGCTTGGCCTTGAGTGGGAATGGCTGGGATTTGGGTGTTGCCTTTAGGAGGGATACCTGCATGTCTTGTTCCAGTCTGCACTGGGAAGAATTCAAATATGCACCTGGCTCCCTTCACTATTTTGCCCTATCCTTTGTGCTCATTCTTACTGAAATCTGTCTTGTCAGCTCAGGAATGGGAATCCCCAGGGAAGGAAAGCATTTTTTTTGTTCTGGGAAGCCCAGACTGTTCACTTTGGGGCAGGGCCAAACATGTGCCTGGTGAATTTGCTTGAAAACCATCACTGTCTTCTACCCCCATCACTGTATAGTGCAAAACTTGATTAAAGTGGTATCTGAGAACCATAATGATCGAATCCTATCATCCACATGGTATTTGGGGGTCTTAGGAGTCAGGCAAGTACAGGCATTGTACAGGAAAACATTGGTACTAAAGGGTGCCAAGGAGCCCTGGAAACTGCTTTACTAGGATGGTTGCACTGAATCCTGGAGGCACAAATTCCCAAGAACCTTTTACCATCATTACTATTGACTGTAGCACCTTCAAGTCTAAATGGAAGTAGACCACACACACACACACACACACACACGCACAATTTTCCCTATAAAAGTATTATACGCACATTCAGGAAAATTTGGTAGGGATTTTAAAAAGGTCACCCATGTTCTCAGCTCTTTCATAACCACCTGTTAACATTCTGTTGTCTTTTACTAATTCTCTGCATAGGTTTTAAAGATAGTTATCACTCCTGTACATTTAGTTTTGTATACGTTTCTTATATACTATTACAATTTTTCCATTTTGTATGATCATCATAATTGGGTTTTTGGAGATGGGGTCTCTATCACACAGGCTTGAGTGCAGTACAATCACAGCTCAGTGCAACCTTGACCTCCTGGGCTCAAGCAGCCCTCCCACCTCAGCCTCCCAAGTAGCTGGGACTACAGGAGCATGCCGCCATGCCCAGCTAATTTAAAAATTTTTTTGGTTGAACCAGGTCTCAATATGTTGCCCAGGCTGGTCTCAAATTCCTGGGCTCAAGTGATCCTCTGGCCTTGGTTGGTCTGTGATTTGTATATATATATATATATATATTTTTATATATTTTTTTTTTTTTTGAGACACAGTCTCAGTCTGTCACCCAGGCTGGAGTGTAGTGGCATGGTCTTGGCTCACTGCAACCTCTGCCTTCTGGGTTCAAGTGATTCTCCCACCTCAGCTCCCTGAGTAGCTGGGAACACAGACATAAGCCATTATGCCCAGCTAATTTTTGTGTTTTTAGTAGAGATGGGGTTTCATCATGTTGGCTAGGCTGGTCTCGAACTCCTGACCTCAAGTGATCTGTCCGCCTTGGCCTCCCAAAGGGCTGGGATTACAAGTGTGAGGCACTGTGCCTGGTGGCCTGTAGTTGTTTTTAATAGCAACATAATTGTCTGTCAAGTGGGAGTATGGCATAAGTTTATCCTGGACAATTTCCGTATTGCTGGACATTTGAATTGTTTCTGGTCATTCACTCCTTTAGACACTGCAACAAATATATAAAGCTTTTTTTCTGCATTTTGGAATAGTAAAAATAGCAAATGTCATTTTGGATGAAATAGGATGAATGAGCAGTTTTGAGGATCTCATGCATAATACCAAATGTCTTTCCTAAAGGGTTCTAGGAGTTTCTACTAAATGTTGACATGTAAGATGTTGCTGGTGAGGCTGTGAGGGGAGTAAAAGCAGAGGTTAGCAAGAAGCATAAGAAGCTGTTGCCTCTTGAAGCCAACTGACGTTTAACTTAAGTGAGTAAAGGGCAGTACTGAGCATTTCATGAAGAATGAATCTGTCTCTAAAAGGGAATGGGAATTGGCCCTACTTCTTATCTCAGGCTCTCTCTCCTGAGGCCTGATGGTGTTCACAGGTGGGTGAAGGTGGAGTTCCTGAACAGTTAGAGGTGCCAGCTGTGGAGAGGTGCCAGCTGGAGGTGCCTTCCTGCAAGGTGGTGGCCTGAGAGGAGGGAGCAGGTTGAGTCGTTGGCTTCTAGGTCACTGAGGCCTAGTGGGAATGTGGAAGTGAGCTGCTGTTGCTTCCCAGGGAAAAAATCTGATAGGGAGCTTAGGGAGTGACTGTCAGCTACCCAAGTAAGGGGACTTCTGGTTCTGGCTGATGAGCAGGCCTCATCGGCACACTAGTGCTGCCACCCTGTTGCATCCCGGGCATTACTAAGCCTGTGGTCACTTTCCTGGGCTAAACCTAACGCTGGTGCTGGCAATGTCAGGTGACAAATGAGCCAGCACGCTGGCAGTTAGAAAGCAAAGACCTGCCAAAAGGGGGCAGTGGTGACTCACCTTTTAATCTGTGCTGCTCATGCAGTGGTACCAGATTTTGAATTTTTCAAAAAGACGTTCTAAGATGTTCTAAGAGCTCCAGAGGGGGTACAAAATTAAAAGATGCTAGAAATTCAGGGTTTTTTGGTATGTGTAACCTTCTGATTTTTAAGTGTTGATAATTCATTATGAAAAATTCTAAGCATGCTAACATACCCATGGGGTTAATTTGACCCAGTGGCTGCCAATTAGTGACCTCTCAAACTGCCCCCTCCCTCTGATTACACCTAAGAAGAATACTTTTTTTTTTTTTTTCAATCTAACAACTTTTGACAAATACTAGATCCCAGAATTGGTTTCCCTCAAAACACTTTTGGGCATCCTGAACAAAGGCAGCTTAATATCAACCTAAGAAAAACATGAGGATGGAAAGCCTACAGAAACAATACCAAACAAATTTTCCCACTGACATTTTTGGGTTTTTCAGATCTTTTAGGATATCCCTGTCACCACCCGTTGGCCTCCTCTCAGTGTCAGGTCGAGAGAGCCCTATCTTTGGAAATCCAGGTGGCACTTCACTTTGGTTGTGCCCCCTTCCAAGGGCACATCCTCACTGAATTTCTTCCTCTAGCAAATCTATTAATACTCTCAGCTAGGTCTTTCTTTCCCACAGCCTGGCTGAGATCAGCAGTTGCAGTCACTGTAAGATAGTATATGCGTGCTTCTTGCCTCTGCTCAGGTGACATTAGGTAGCAAGGTTTATGTGGATGCAGGTATGACAGGTGAGGGTTGCTGGGATGAACCAAGGTGCAGGCCGGTTTTCTCCCATGCTTACTGATTCACCTTGGAGGCGTTTGACCCTCTTTTGACTGGCCTTCCAGTCACAGTTCGCTGAAACACATGAGTAAGTGGACGTGCTTGGGGCTTTTTGCTGCCTCCCTCCCCGGTCTCTTCCCAGCCCTGTGATGGTGGTGGCTTTAGCGTGGGGTTATCCTGTCTGAGCACGGCAGGAATCACTTCTCTCCCTGCAGCGGCTCAGTGTCTGGTGCTTTTCCACTCTCTCTAGACCCTTTCCTGTGCCTGTTGCTGTGTTAGCACAAGTTGGCTGGGCAGGTGCCAGAACAAGCCTGCCAGGGAGCCTTTTGACTTTTGTCAGCTCCCCAGGGCTCCAGGCTGGTGGGACTGTTGGCAAGTGAAACATCATGGAATTAGCCTTGCAGGAGTCTGGGTTGGGAGCCAGGCAGTGAAAATGAAAAAGTCCCTCTGTCTTGCCTCACTTTTCCTTTTCCACTTTGCTTTAGGTCTCTAAGTACTTGTAGGGTGGGGAGCCAGGGCAGTGTAGCAGAGGGAATGTAAAGTGGACTCTGGAGTCTGGCAGATTTGAGTTATGAATACTGCCTTAACCGCCAACTGGATGACCTTGGGGAAGTCACTTAGCCCTTCTGAACCTCAGTATCCTCACCTGTAACATAGGGATAAGAATTTTTGTTGGGTTGTTGTGAAGACTTGGTAATTATGTAAAGTTCTTAGTATAGAGACTATGCTAAGAACTTTACATACATTGTCACAGACTGTGATAAAACTTTACATACATTACCTCATCCTCACAATAATCAGTAGGTACTCAGTAGATGTTAGCAACTTTAATTTTATTGCAGGAAGAACCTACGTTTTCTGTAATAGTTGTAGGTATCCTTGTGATCCTGGTGAGGTGGGGATCTGAGGGAGAGAGCAGCCTTGGCTAAGGGACAACAGGGATCCTCAGACCTGGTGGTTGAGAGCGGCTTAGAAATATTTTATAGAAAGAACTGGCTTGTGTTAAGAACCAAGAAGCACAGGCTGCTCAGGAGATTGTAGGCTTCAGACCCGCATTACTCTGGTAGTTCCGGTAGTGCAGTCTGCAAAGTCAGAGGGAAGTAGATTGGCCAGAATGCCTAGGAGGTCACAGATCAGGAGAATGGGGAGAGGAAAGAGCCTTGGACTTGGAGGCAAGAGATCTGGGTGGTGACCTGGGGTATGCTGCTTCACCTCTCCTGGCCTTGGTTTCCCTGCAAAATGAGGAACGTGTTCCCTGCTGATAGTGTGAAAAGAGTGAGAAAACCCCTTTAGAGTGCTCTGAAAACATGCAAGCGCTAGGTATTACAGCCCAGTAAAACCTCCGTTTTATCTAGCTGGGATGGTGGCCAGTCTGAATAATAAAATACAAATAAATGTGCTATTATTTCTTTTCTGTACACAGCCTGTTTTAAAGTATCTGCTAAATAGAAGTCTTTAGGGGAATTAGTTTGAAGAGTAAGCAGTAATTAGTAACTGCTGTATCAGATTTCATCCTGTTCCAGCAGTGCCTCTGGTACCTAAAAAATGGTTTACTCTTTTTGAATTAAACTTGTTAACGTCAGTTATCTGTTGATCAGATCCTTTTTACATAGTACAGCAGTAAACCCTGGTTTTGTGTTTTGTTAAAAATACCAAATGGGCCCTTCTAATTATTCCTATTTAAAAAAAAATCTGTACTAGTGTAAAAATCTTAACAGCTTTTCCATCTAGAAGATTCCAGAGTCCTTAGCACCCTTATTTCCTCTCTCACTGCCCAGTTTCTTCACTTCCAGCCCCGCTCAGGTGTCCATTTCTCCTTCTCCGAGCCGAAGCTGCTAGTAATTTGGAGTAATTTGCATAACCATCTTGCCCAGCCCTCTTCTTTCATGGATTGTGGATGCTACAGAGTCTGTAGCACTTCAAGGTAATCTGTTTTTAAACCAAGCTCCTTGAGGCTCCCAACCCCATCCCTGGGCCCTTTTTGCTCTTTACTGCTTGTCTCTGCCTCCACCAATACAGTGGTCAGGGCATTTTGGTTCAAAGCTTTTGTAATGGAAAATTGTATATACTCGTCATATTCTAGCTTTTTGCAGTACACAATATTCTCTTCATGGGATTCTCCCTTGACACCACCACATCTCAGTTTTTTTTTCCAGTTCTCCTGCTCCTGCTCCCTCCTGTTCTAATGCAAGTATTCTTCCAGCTTCGTTCTTGCCTCT